TGAAATCCGAGTGAATCTAAAAGGTTTCATCCTCTGCCGCCGTCCCTTCTGGCACCTCAAAGCCCTCCTACATCGCAATTAGTTTGTGTGCCAAGGCCGCATAAGTCACTCACCTCCGTCGAGTAAAGAATCTTTTGGATTTCCTTCAGGACCTCATCATCCTTTCCGGCATCAAACTCTTGTTGAACCAAGATTTCAATGTCCCTTAGCTGTGCCACGACGTTAGATATGGGCGAACACGAGGTCTGCGTACATACTTTAGCGAAATAAAAGTCCCTCTCCTTCTCTAACCCTTCCATTGTGGTGGTCAATTCCTGGACCTGGGTTTGCATTGCCAATAATTCCACGTTCGTCTGGGTAACTCTCTGCCCACCCACGGGCGTTTTCCCCCTTGGTGCTGATCCAGAAGGTGTCCCTCCGGATGATCTTCCAGGGCCGACAGGGGCAATCGTCGCGGGTGGATCACCAGCCTGGCCTTTCCGTCGAGCGGCGGCGTTGTAAGGCTCGCCAGAATAATTCTGATCCCAATACCGCTTAATCCATTGAAGGAATTCAAGGTTGTCTTGCATCTTGCATTTGACTAGCTTATCTACGGGGATAGTCTGGGTATGAAGATCAGCGGCCATCTCGTGCGGCAAAAATAAAGCGGCGACGGATGCATTCTGGTCGTGTCATGTACGCGAATTTAAGTGAACTCCATCGAGAGTACAACTAGACAGAACTCTCGAAACCGCCGCTCACATACCTTGTCAATCTTCTTTGCCTTGAAGAAATTTTGCATAATCTTATAGTTCTGCAGGCTTTCATATTCGTGTTTTGCTGCAAACTTTACTCGTGCCATCGGCACATCGCCTGTTCCGTGTGTTGATGATTGGTGAGCTTTACATAGATCAGATAGGGACCACACCACTGACCGAATATAGAATCGAGTATCTGGCAATAAGCAGCCCCAGTTCCACACTGTTCGACCTTCGTGTAGTTGATGTCAAGTAATTCGTTGAGCCATTGGAGAAGTTCTGTACGTGATTCGCCCATCGATGAGTTGATTTATTCGTGTTTCGTGGAGGAAAGAAGAGAAGGAGATTAATAACGCGGTTCTATACGGAATAAGATGCACTAGACGTGAGGCCGAGAGTAGGAGATTATGAAGGCGAGCTCCAAGTTTGATCTGTATTCGACCCTGCTTCGGCTTGACCTCTAACACGATTCATAAATCGCTCACTCTTTATTGGGCATGCTAAACTCTCAGACTAGGGCCAATGGTTGGTATAACACGAGCAGTTTACGCGCCATTGCTAACAAGCCTCCTAAGCACCAGAAACCACACTGATGGAAATGTCCAACCCGGTGGAGGCCTCTATGGAGCGACCAAGAAAGAGACAAAAGACAATTAACGGAGTCAAATTCCCAATGAAGAATGGAAATCTACAGGGACAGAAAAGTAATGGTGTATCGAACGGTCGGGCTAATGCCAGTTCGGGCAAGCAAAACGCTCTGGCAAAATCAAGAGAAGCATTGCCCATTTGGCCAGGTAACGCTTGTATACACACGCTAAAATGTTTTAATGCTAAAACTAATCAAGACTGTGTGAC